TTATGTTGCCCTGGGTAGAGTGCTGTGGTGTCACAGCTTACAGCAACTTCACACTCTTCAGCTTCAGCAATTTTCTTGCCTCAGCCTCCCAAGTAGCTGGGACTATACGCACCTGGCACAACACCTGACAATTTTTAATTTTTGTTGTTGTTGTTGTCATCATTGTTTAGCAGGCCGGGATGGGTTCAAACCCTCCAGCCCTGGTATATGTGGCCGGCAGCCTAACCCCTGAGCTAAGGGCACTAAACCTAATATTCATTCTTAGCATAGAGTTTTCATTTCACTGTGTTTCTTAAAAGTCTCTTCTATATAAGTAGCTACCTTCTGTTTCATTTGGCTTATTTATGTTTTCTCCATTTTTTTCTTAATTATATTTACAGAGTTTTGCTCTTTGCCTAGCAGACGAGTGGACCAGAAATTTGGGAGAAATAAAAGATACTTTTGACACTGAAGCAATGTCAGACTGTACTATGAGTCCCTCCCAAAGAGGTTATCCCCATGTGACATAGTAGAATAGGTAATTGGCAAGAGTTGAGGCCACTGCAGCCATTCAGGATAGTGTCTCAACAATTCTGGAGCAAAGAGTCATTCCAGGGAGCCTCTTTCCATTTTAAGTAACCTAATGAATGCTTTAAGTCAATGGGATTCCCTAGAATCTTTTTGAAAGGGACATCTAGGCATCTAATAATAAATAATGGAAACTTGATATAATCATTTAGAAGAAGAGTATGAATTATCCCTGATCTTTTTGGCTTCTGTGTTGGATGAGAGTCACTTGGGTGGTATGTATAACTCTGTCCGTGGTGATAGTCCCTGGCTGTGTCAGAAGTGACCTATCTAGGAGAGAAGGGTCACAGAGAAGGGCAAATCCAGCAAAGAAAATGACGGCCTTCTGTTAATGTGGTGGGGAGAGCTGGGAGGTGGGGAGACTACTGTGTTAGCTTTTGTAGGGGAATAATCAACACAGAGTGGGGAAAGAACCAATAGGATTGGAAAGGAAAGGAGAGATGGGCTCAGCGCCTGTGGCTCAAGCAGCTAAGGTGCCCACCACATACACCTAAGGTGGTGGGTTTGAATCCAGCCGAGGCCCGCCAAAACAATAATGATGGCTGCAACCAAAAAATAGTCGGGCGTTGTGGCAGGTGCCTGTGGTCCCAGCTACTTGGGAGGCTGAGGCAGGAGACTCACTTGAGCCCAAGAGTGGGAGGTTGCTGTGAG